TATGAAGAAGGAAATTTTATGATGAGAATGGTCAATCTATCGGGAATATATAACATTTATAAAGATATATGTCAGAGTCCCAAAATATATGAAACACAAACTTTCAGAATGAAGAGAAAAATAGACAATTCAGCAATATATGGAGAACTTCAATACACCACTTTCAATAATGGACAGAACAAGTAGGCAGAATATCAACAAGAAACTAGAAGACTTGAACAACACTACACACCAATTAGACCTTACAGACATCTATCTGTAGAACACCCATTAGTGGAAGAATGCAAATTCTTCTCAAGTGATGGAATATTCTCTGGGATAGACCAAATACTAGGCCATACATTTTGAATCTCAATAAATTTTAAAAAGATTGAAATCATACAAGGTATGTTCTCTGACCACAGTAGAATGAAATTAGAAATTAATAACAGAAATAAATTTTGAAATTTCACAAATATGTGAAAATGAAAAACATACTCCTAAATAACCAATGGACAAAAAAGGTATCAAAAGAGAAATTAGTACATGCTTTAAGATGAATGAAATGATAGACACAACATAACAAAAGTTATGGGATGTAGCTAAAGCAGTGTTGGGAAATTTAGAATTTAAACACATACAGTAAAAAAAGAAAGATTTGAAATAAATAATCATACTTTTCATCTTAAAACGATGAAGATAAAAAAGGGCAAACTAAACCCAAAGCATAAAGAAGAAAGGAAATAATCAAGCAGAGAATAGAAAAATGTTAGAGAAAGCCAATGAAACTAAAAGTTTGTGCTTTGGAAAGGTCAACAAAATTGACAAACCTTTAGCTATACTGACTTTGTTTTGTGTTGCTATAACAGAATACCTGAGGCTGGGTAATTTATAAACAAAATAGGTCACTGTTATTAGCTCTTGGTGTGATAGGCTGGGAAGTTCCATGGCATGGCCCTGGCTTTTGGTGTGGTCTTCTGTGCTGGGTCAAAACATGGCAAAGAAGGTCAAAAGGGAAGCAGACAAGTGCAAAGAGAGAAAACCTGAGGGGAATCTTGGCTTTATAACAACCCACTCTTAGGGGAACTAATCCATTCCCAGGAGAACTAATCCAGTTTCATCAGAGTGAGAACTCACTCTCTATAACAACACCACCAGGGCCAGCAATGAGGCTATCATCTTTATTTGTGAGGTTGAGCTGGAGGATCACTTGAGACCTGGAGTCTGAGGTTGCAGTGAGTCATGATTGCACCTCCTCTCTCCAGCCTAGGTGACAGAGAGAGACCCTATCTTTAAAAAAACAACAACAACAACAGAACAGCACTGAGCCATTCATGAGAGATCCATCCCCTTTATTCAAATACCTCCCATTAGGTCCGACCTCCGAACACCATCACGTGGGGGAATCAAATTTCAACATGAGTTTTGGTGGAGACAAACTCAAAACATATTCAAACCATAGATATGTTTGGACCAATAAATAAAGAAGACTCAAATTACTAAAACCAGCCATGAAAGAGGGGACATGAATATCAACCTTATAGATATAAAAAGAATTATTATTTTTATGCACAATGATAGGCCAACAAATTAGACAACTTAGATGAAATAGATGTATTCCTAGAAAGATGCAAACTACCACTACCAACTCAAGAAGAAACAGAAAATCATAGACTTATATTAAGAGTTTGAATTAGTAATTTAAAAACTACTGACAAAGAAAAGACCAGGCCCAGGTGACTTATCTGCTCGATTCTATCAGACATTTAAAGAAGAATGAATACAAATTCTTCACAAACACTTCCAAAAATAGACAAGGAGGGAACATTTCCCAACTTATTTAAGAGGCCAGTTATACTTGATAGCAAAACCAAAGACATTTTAAGAAAACTGCAGACCAATATCCCTTAGGAATATAGATGTAAAAATATGCAACAAAATACTAGCAAACTGAATGTGGCAATAAGTATACATCACGTCTAAGTGGGATTTATACTAAGAATGAAAAGTTGATTTCATGTCCCAAAAACAATCAATGTAACACACCATCAATAGAATAAAGGACAATGAAACCACATGGTCATTACAATAAATGCAGAAAAAGGATTTGTCAAAATTCAATACTTCTTCAAGATAAAAACAGACAACTTTCTAGGAACAGAAGGAAACTTCCTCACCTGTATAAAGTGTATCTATTTAGAATTCACATTAACATCATACATAGTGGTAGAAGACAATGCTTTTCCTCTAAGAACAGGAACAAGACAAGTATGTCTGGCCACTCTTGCTGTTTCTATCAACACTGCAATGGAGGTCTATGTCTTAGCTTGGGCTGCCATAATAAAATATCAAAGACTGGGTGGCTTAAACAGCAGACATTTATTTTGTCACAAATTTCAGGAAGTTCTCATTGTACTCAAGGCAAGAAAACCCTAGACTAGGGTGTTGGCTGTTGAGATGGAAATTGGTGGTCAGATTCAGGATATTATTTTTGGAAGTCGAGTTTACAAGATTTTCTCATAGGATACAGAAGGAGAAAGTGAAGAGAGAGAACAATAAAGAATCAACATGTTCAGCAAATGCAAAAGAATGGAAATCATAACAGTCTCTCTATAAAAAAAAAGAATCAACATGTACATTTTTGGCTAGAGCAACCTGGTGAACTTTGGGGCTCCTCAGTGGATGGAAGACCAGCAGAGGGAGAATCAAGAATTATCTTTTTGGCCATTTGATGTTTGAGCTTGTGAACCCCAAAAATCTGAGACACATCTCAGTCAATTTAGGAAGTTTATTTTGCCAAAATTAAGAACACATACCCATGACATAGCCTGAGGAGATGCTGAGGACATGTGCCCAAGGTGGTTGGAACACAGCTTGATTTTATATTATACATTTTAGGGCAACATGAGACATCAATCAGCATATATGTAAGATGAACATTGTTTTCGCCTGGAAAGGTGGGACAAGTCAAAGCAAAGGCAGGACAAACTTGAAGCAGGGAGGGGGCTTCCAGGTCAGAGGTAGGTAAGAGACAGATGGTGGCATTCTTTTGAGTTCCTAATTAGTCTTTCCAAAGGAGGCAGTCAGGTTTGCATCTGTATCAGGGAGCAGAGGGATGACTTTGAATAGAATGGAAGGCAGGTTTGCCCTATGCAGTTTGCAGCTTGACTTTTCCCTTTAGCTTAATTATTTTGGGGCCCCAAGATTTATTTTCTTTTCACCAGCTGTCTATTAGATATCCAAGAGATGTCAGCAAGGAGTTGAATACATGTGCGTGTAGCTCCCAGAAGGATCAGCTCCTGAATGACAGGCCTTCAATTACTGAAGGCGTTTAAAGCCAGGTTTAAGGCTAGGCGTGGTGGCTCACGCCTATAATCCCAGCACTTTGGGAGGACAAGGCGGTTGGATCACCTGAGGTCGGGAGTTGAGACCATCCTGACCAACATGGAGAAACCCCGCCCAACAAAATTAGCTGGGAGTGGTGGCGCAGGCCTGTAATCCCAGCTACTCAGGAGGCTGAGGCAGGAGAATCGCTTGAACCTGGGAGGCAGAAGTTGCAATAAGCCGATATCGTACCATTGCACTCTAGCCTGGGCAACAATAGCAAAGCTCCATCTCAAAAAAAGAAAGAAAGAAAAGCCAGGCTGAGGTTATTTGGAGAAATTTCAAGAGAAAGGCGAGGTTATTTGGAGGAATTTTTAGAGAAAGTTTATTTGAAGAGAAAGGCAGGGAATGGGAGTAGGGTGGACTGGGGGTGGAGGCAGTAAATCATCGTGGGGATGCCAATGTCCGGAAGTTAAGTAAAGGAGGATCAGCCAAGAAGTTTGAGAAGGATCAGCTAGTGTAGAGAAAAACAAGTGAGCTGCTTAGAAAGCAACACAGTAGTGTTTCAATGAGCTTGGTAGAACTAGGCTGGAAGTCACGCTAGATGAAGAAACAATTGGGTTTTATCTTGCAGGTCTCTGCTGTCCTTGAGAGGGGTATTCAGTGGAGGGGTGGGGAAGGGGACTAACTGATACTAATTAAGTTGAAAAGGTGAGGTGAGGTAATGGCAAGTATTTCCTTTTTTTTTTTAAGACTGAGTATCACCCAGGCACCATCTCGGCTCAGTGCAATCTCTGCCTCCTGGGTTCAAGTGATTCTCCTGACTCAGCATCTAGAGTAGCTGGGCTTGCAGGCGGCCGCCACCACGCCCGGCTAATTTTTGTATTTTTAGTAGAAACGGGATTTCATTATGTTGGCCAAGCTGGTCACGAACTCCTGACGTCAAGTGATCCGCCCGCCTCGGCCTCCCAAAGTGCTGGGATTACAGGCGTGAGCCACTGGGCCTGACTAGTAACTATTTTCATTTGACTGATGGGACAGTGCACCTTTTGGTTGGCATTTGTAGTTAGAAATGTTTGAGAGAAAAAAACTCAAATATATGTTACAAGCCTATGTGTCCGGTTCCCTTTTGAAGTACTGACCTAGGACCTCTGTACCTACTGAATTTTTTTTAATTGAGTGATAACATACACCTGAAAGTGCATAAACTGCACTGTCTTAAAATGTACAGCTTGATTCTTTAAAAAAAAAAACATATACGTACGCCCGTGTAACTCCTGTTCATATACATCCAACATAACCATAAGGTTCCTCTGCACTTTCCCTGTCTATAATCTCTCACAAATAAACCAATATTCCGACTCCTATAAAAATCCAGTAGCTTTACTACATTGTCTCTGAAGGACATTTAATTGGAAAACTGCTTTAGCACATTATGAACTTACCAATTTGCTTGAGTAAGCAGACGCTAACTAACCATTTGGCGCCAAAATCCTGGGAGCGACTTTTAAGCCCTTCTTCCTCAAAACACCGCCCCACTTTCTACACCACGCCTCCTTTTGCTCTGTTCCTTCCCCGCAATATTGGGACACCCTAGGCGGCAGAAGAGTCCGCTTTTCTGTCATGCGCACTGAGTAGACGTCTCCTTCCTTCTTTCCCGACTCCACCACTCACTGGAATCAGGCTCCCGACATGCGCATTGAGAGTCCTCTAGACGCGCACCTCGCAGCGCCGTAGTGCGCATACGCGGAGCGGCCCGTGAGGGCGGAAGTGGGAGCAGTGACGGGGAGGAGGGGCCGCCGCGCTTGCTGTGAGGTGGGCGAGCCGCGGACATGGCGCCCTCCGGGAGTCTTGCAGTTCCCCTCGCAGTCCTGGTGCTGTTGCTTTGGGGTCCTCCCTGGACCCACGGGCGGCGCAGCAACGTTCGCGTTATCACGGACGAGAACTGGAGAGAGCTGCTGGAAGGAGACTGGATGATAGAATTGTGAGTGCGGGGTGGCTGTCCCGGGCGGCCAGGGTCCTACGTCCGTGCCTGGACACACGACTTCATCCCACACGTTCCTCAGGCAGGTCCCACGCTCCCCAGGACTGTGCCTCCGAGTTGCGGAGCTAGCATCCCTGAGTTCTGCGGCTCCAGAAACTCATCTTGGGATCTGCCGCCGGCTTGGTCCCACCCCCTTGTCTCTTACCCGGGAATGTTAAGTTTCTTCTGGTGTGCACCCTTGTTTCGTTTCTGGGGCTGTGGTGAGCCTAAAGGGTTAGCGCCAATGCAAATTGTGACATTTTTCATAACTTTGAGGATGCGATTGGAGCCCGGGGAGGGAAGTGTCTTACCTAGTGTCCAAGTAGTTAATTTAGAGTGATTTTTCACAGACTTCCCTTGTTTTCACCACACTTTACGGAAGAGAATATTGAGCAAAATCTCTCCTCTCCTTTTGTCCTTAAAAGATGGTCTGTTTATGGTGTTGGAATTTGGGGCTTTTAAGCTTTTTTTTTTTTTTAACGGGTAAGTTAGGTTTCCTTTTTATTGTAAGTGCTGAGTAAATTCAAGTTGGGTTATTTAAGTTTTCGTTTTCTCTTTTTCCGTCCTCTTTTGCTTTCTCTTTTTCATTCCTCATCTCATTTTTCCTTTTGGTGTCTTTGCACTGTAGAGAATACCCTGGATTGTGACTCCTAGGTCTTTGTAAATGGTATTACATTAAAAGATAAAATTAATGTATTAATGTGATTATTATCCACTGTCAAGAGCGCCAGATCATCATTTATTGCTTGAAATAAATCATGTATCTTGTGTGGCGATTTCAATTTAAGATTGCCCGTTCTGCAGCGGTGGGAAAGAAAGTAACTAAAGCCTTTGCTTTAGATACTAAGTGTTGGTGGTGGTATTATACATATTAGCAGTATTACTGGTAATAGTAAAAGCATGATTAATGAGTATTAACTGTGTACTGGACACCACTAAGCACTTTTACACGCATACCATATTTAATTCCCTACAAATTCTCTTTGACAGGTGTTTTTCACATTTTACAAATGAGTAAGAGGATACCTATATACGTTAGTTAACCTATGCAGATATTGCTATGCTGGATTTTTTTTGGCTCTTCACAGTAGGCATGCAATAATTGTTGTTAGAACACCATCTTCTTTAAAAAGGTTCAGCTGGAAATGACATACGCTACTCAGGAGTTTGAGGTATGGGGATGGCTTGAGCCCAGAGGTTCAAGACATCCTGGGCAACATAGAGAAATAAATAAGTTCATAGATAAAAATTAAAAGAAGACGGTTCAAGTGAGTGTTTTCTTGTGTGATGGATGCAACAAGGGTTGTCAAGTTAAGGAGGCCAGTGAAAGTGACATCCCTTAGGGAGAACTCAGAGGCTAAATCAGTAAATCCTGAGTTATTTTAAACACACACACACACACACACACACACACACACACCCCCCCCCGGCCTGGATCGGTGGCTCAGGCCTCTAATCCCAGCACTTTGGGAGGTCGAGTTGGGAGGATCACGAGGTCAGGAGATCGAGACAATCCTGGCTAACCAGGTGCAATCTTGTCTGTCCTAAACATTAGCAGGCATGGTGGCTCGCACCTGTAGTCCCAGCTACTCTGGATGCTGAGGCAGGAGGGTTTGCTTGAACCTGGGAGGCAGATGTTGCAGTGAACTGAGATCACACCACTGCCCTCCAGCCTGGGTGACAGAGCAAGACTCTGTTTCAGAAAAAAACAAAACAAAACAAAACACCCCACAAAACTTACAACATTTATATGGAGGGTAAGATAAAGGGAAATAGTCACAGTATGTATATAATCTGCAACTCTGAAATGAATTTTCAGGCACCATTGAAAGCTTCAGGGGAGAAGAACTATGACAAGTGACACTGTTTTTCAGTCATTGTCATGAGTAACTTGTTTTAGATCATGCCTGTAAAATAGTGTTACAGGGCAGTTTTTTAAGCGACAGAGATCCTGTGTTTATATGCAAAATACAGTCAAGTATTACTCAAGGATATTTTTAAACTCTTTATGATCAAACTATATAAATACAGCAATCAGAAGTAGTATTAAGGAGAACAAGACTAACAAAACATTGAGTATGAGGTAAATCCATGTTGGAGCATCTCTCTGAAATTATGCTATAGGGTAGTAGTTTCTCTTTTTCCTTAAATAGAGATTCTAAAGTTAAGTCTTTAGAAAGCAACAGACAGCCTGGGCAACATGGCAAAACCCAGTCTCTACAAAAAATACGAAAAATTAGCTGGGCAGGCATCTGTAGTCCCAGCTACTTGGGGGCCTGAGATGGGAGGATGTCTTGAGCCCAGGAGGTTGAGGCTGCAGGGAGCCCAGATCGCACCACTGGGCTCCCTCCAGCCTGGGTAACAAAGTGAGACCCTGTTTCAAAAAATAAAAAAGTAACTGAGCAACAAAACGAACCTGAAAAACAAGGAATTTAGTAGTTTTAGCAATAGTCTGCTCCTAATTACAAGTGAATTATCTTCAGTAAATCCATTTCTGGTCAGAAGTTTTGTCATGGAGATATTTTCATTGTAATACTATTTATTGTTAGGAGCTTGGCTTTTATAGTACCAGTTTGTCTTGTTCTACAATGTCTATTTTAGGAGTTTGGTTTTTGTAAAACAAGGGAAGAAAATGTGAAGTACAGAAACTGTATTTTTGTGTTTAACTGGTTTAGGCTTTATTCTTCCTGGTTTTGTTAAAAATAAACCGTTAGGTGAATTATAAGATAATATACGATAAAGTGGAAAAATAATGTCCCAGGGACATAATGAATGTCAGAGGAGTAATTTAAATACTAATATGCTTACGTTTGTAAATCCAAGGTCTTGGAAAAAGGATGACCTAGCTGGCCAAGAGTTTTGTTTGGCCTGCTTAGTATTTGCGTGTGGGTTATTTTTTGAGGTAACAGTCTTATATAAAAATGCAAATCTCCATCTTCTTTTAAATATTAATAGCCAGCTTTACTGTGCCAGCTTCCTTTATGGCAATCCTACTTGGTAGTGGTTGTCACCTTGAGATGGAATTTGTGCTTTTCTATTCGCCAAAGCCTAGGACACTTCTGTTTTTCCAACACTTTGCATTTGTGACTCTGCCATGTAAATTATTAAAATTGGTAAACTCTAACTTTGATCTTGAGCTTTCTTGTAGCCACATGTTAATAGAGAAATGCAAAGGCTTTTTAAAGAGCTGTTTTGCATGTGAAAAAGTCCTTGTGTCTTATTCTCAGAATTTCATTTGATTAGCATCACCAGTTCATCATTCTTCATTTCCGGGTTGTTAGATCTTCACTTGAAACTTTTTCATCTGCATAAAATTAACCACTTTGCTGCCATCAGTATTTTTATATAAAATACTCATTATAAATTATACATTAAAATTTTTTATCCCAAGATAAATGGTCATATTGAAGTGCTTAACTCTTTTTTTTTAAATCTGTATTTTTTAGTTATGCCCCGTGGTGCCCTGCTTGTCAAAATCTTCAACCAGAATGGGAAAGTTTTGCTGAATGGGGAGAAGATCTTGAAGTTAATGTTGCAAAAGTAGATGTCACAGAGCAGCCAGGTACTGTCAGTTTTTTGGTTAGTTTTGCTTCTTTGCTGTTTGGGTTATGTTTATCCTATTTTCTACATTACATGGTCTTCCGTAACTCTACCTTTTATTAGGTTTTGAAAACCTAACAGCCTGCAACTAGTTAACCTCCTGACTTGTCCACCTCCCTGATGGGGGCTTAGTGTGCAGTGTCTGCAAAATGGAGATTCCCTGGTTGTGTATACACATCGTTTCTTGAATGTGTTGCTTTAATGGTTCTTGAAGACATTACCCTCTCTTTATTCTTGCCCACATAACTGCCTCTGATGTGTTGTTCCTTGCATCCCAGGCCCCAGACTAATGTGTAAGATGCCTTTGAGAAGTTCTAGAACACTGTGGTTCAGGTGAACATTGGCCAAGCCATATTTGCATCCACACCAAACTTCAGAATAAGGAGCATGTGGTTGAGTGATTTTGTAGAGTCAAGGTCACATTCCTTGACAAAGGAAGATTCCCTGAATCTCTGAAATGGAGTTTTAAATTTAGAACCTATGATTTGAGGATGTGGGCTACTAAATACAAAGCCCTTGTATAGTTGTGAGGTCAGGTGTACTCCTGACTTGGTCCCTGAACCAGTGGCAGGTCCTGCCCTTAGGGAGTCTCCTTTCTCAGACCATCCTCATCTTACCATTGCTGCTAGTCACACTACCCTTGGGTTCTTGGCTGCCCCATCCCAAATGGTAATAATAAGTAATATTTATTGAGTGCTTGCCTATTATAGCATTCTTCCGAGTATCTTGTATTTGTTATTTAATCTTTATACAACCGCATGAAATATGTAATGTCCCCATTTTACAGATAAGAAAACTGAGGCCCAGACAGGTCAAGTCTCTGTTCTATCAGTGCTTGACACATGGCTAATAATAAATGTTAGCTGCTGCTGTTTTTGCCTGTCTTGTGAAAGAGTCATAGTATTTTCCATTTTTAGCAGCACCATAAACTGTCTGTTGAATGTCAAGTTGATTTTAGATCTAAGACCCTATTACCTTGTGCTTGCTCATGACTAATTACTAGTAGTCTTAGTGGCATAAATGATGAAGTGTTTTTATTTAAAAATGTATTTAGTACTCTAATTCTGCATACTTTTAAACTGAGATGATGTGCAGTATTGTGTTTTTTAAAGTTGCTCTAAGTACATAATTCATTTTTAAGTTATGTATTACAAAGCTCACCTATTAGGTATAATTTCATATTCTTTCCTATTAGTACCTATTTAAATAATTCAGAGTCAACTTCTAAGTAGTCAGTGATTGGCCCATGTAAAACCTTCTGTGTGTTCTTTATTTGTAGGATTGAGTGGACGGTTTATCATAACTGCCCTTCCTACTATTTATCAGTAAGTATTTGAAGATTCTCAGTTGTGGAGAAGTATGCATTATAGTGTAATCAGAAGTAGTAGGCCTCTGGCTTGGATCCTGTTTGAAGAGCCAAGGTAATCACATTATATTCAGCAGGCATTTTAGAGGGCTTATTTTGCTTAGTGTTATCCTAGGTGCCTTTAGGTAGTTGAGTGATATGTGAAACTGTCTCTGTTCTCAAAGATTTACCGTTGCTTTAGAAAGCGATGTTCTTGTGAAATGGTGTGATAAGTAATTATGAGTCCAAAGTAGTGGTGAATACTGTGGGAAATTGGATAAATGAGAAATCACTGTTAACTAGAGTAGTTCCTAGCGAATATGGGGTTTAAATGAAACCTTGGAAGTGGAATTTTAAGAGTACAGGGTAAGCATTTTGTTCTGAGGACAATCTTGTAAACAGTCATTAACAGGAACATGATATGTCCAAAAAGTAGCTAAGAAAGTGCTGTTGTACAGCCTTGGATAGCTTAGTGGGTGACAGCTGAGTATTAAATCAGAATGAGCAAGGTTATATAGTCTTCAGTGTCAGGTCTATTAGTTTGACTTTATCTTCTCAATTGGGGATATGAACTCTCAAGCCTGTGTGCCTGCTCTGTACCCTAACATCATGTAGCTGGTAGGTTAAATACCAGGAGTTACTGAAAATAAGTTGACAATTCTTGGTGTTTGTATCTTGCTTTTCTTTGCCCGCCCTTTTTTTTCATGTTTTTAAAATTCACCCCTACTCCCTTTACATCTGTTTGAATTTCTGTTCTCTGTCTCCATAAGTGCTTCTGTCCTGCCCTTCTCAGTCAGTCCTTTTCCCCATATGCCCTTTCAGTCTCTCCTTTCCTTTTCACTTCCTAGTGCCCCCTGATCTTATTGGAATTTGCTGCCCTTTTTATTTTAGTCAAAATTTTTTTACTGTGTCCTTTCTCCTATTTTCTGCCTGTTGAAATCCTACCTATGCTTCAAAGAATAGCTCCAATGACAGTTCACAAAAGCTTTGTGTTTTGGTGGGGGTGGAGGAGGGGGCTTCCTTGTGGTCTTTACCTCTGGGTGGATAAAGGGTCCCTTAACCCTACTTAATAGGTCCCTAATAGGGAGCTGTTCAGGTTTTGCACTTAAAGATGTGGGAACCAAGAGAACATGTATGACTCTGACAGAACTTTCTACATTGGGAACGGGAAGGAGGAGGTGGATCTAAGGAAGTCTGCAAAGCTGACTGTAAATAGTCACTGAAATGAGAGGAAGGGAAGCAGGGTGGCTGAGGTGATGCTATTATGGCCAAAAGTACTAGGAAAATACCTTAAAAATTTGTTATAGCTTAACAACGGCTAATAATTACTGTGTGCTAAGCACTACTCTAATAATTTTTATATACTTTTAATATGTGTATTACACATAAGGTTTAAAAGTACCTTTCTGAGATTTATCTACTTACCTATATTTCATGGTTTTATTATTTGGAAGAATAACAGTAGCAACATTTTAAGGCTTATGATTTTTAAAAAAATAACCTCATTTAATTAAATTAGGGGCTAATAGTCATGAGTAGGTAAATAGTATCATTTGCTATTAATACTCGTACATTGCTCATGCTTTTGAATGTTAGAATTGACTATAAAATGAGGTGAAAAAGTGTCAAAATAAATATTAAATTATTTCTCAGTGCTGGAAAATATTTAATTGTGATTCTCTTTAGTTGTAAAGATGGTGAATTTAGGCGCTATCAGGGTCCAAGGACTAAGAAGGACTTCATAAACTTTATAAGTGATAAAGAGTGGAAGAGTATTGAGCCTGTTTCATCATGGTTTGGTCCAGATTCTGTTCTGTAAGTATGAAGGCCTTGTCTCTTACCCATTTCATAATTAATTGGAACAGGTAATTATATTTTATCTAAATAAAATATTTATACTCAATTCGTTTCTTGAGCTCTTAAGGTATATCCACATTTATTACATGTTTGATCTTTTTAGTTTGACCTAAGTCAAACATATTTTCATGTTTTTTGAGTTAGAGAAGGCGTTTTATAGAAGTCTTGTATACCTTTTCAGGAATATTTTCACTTGGTAGATTTGATCATTTGTATCATCAAAAGCAAAATGCCCCTAAGAGTATTCACAGCGTAATGGGTAAAGCTGTCACTCTTGTGTAATAATTGGAATGAGTAGGCCCAAACTTGTACTCATGCTACCTCCAGACTTCAGTTTTTTTTTTTTAATGTTCTGTCTCCATAGAGACTGTCAGAAACTGCTGATGCCAACTAAATTGCAAACTTCAACTCTTGATGTAAAGTAATTGAATTATGTTTGGTTGGTTATTCCACCTGTCCGATAACTTCTTATATGAATGGTGTATATAACAGTGACTGTAATAGCATGCCTAACTACTGAGCTTTATAGATATCTAGAGGGTAAACGAATTTCATCTTAGCAAGTGGCTATGGAGTGATAAGGATTGGAAATAGCAAGCATGCTTTCTGCTTTGCTGTTGGGATACGAGGCCTCACTGGTCGTTTGAGAGGCCACTGGGAATAGTGAGTTTTGCTGAAGTCATCAGGGACTGATCCTGTGTGGCCAAGCTGTCTCTTCCTGTCCTGTCACCACACTTACCCTTGGAGGATAAGGAGTTGGGACAGTAATCATGTAAGAGAGAAATGCTCTAGATTCTGGGAATGGGAGAAAGATCAGCCCTGTCAACACTCACCCGTTGAACTACCATGCCCAACCCAATTTTGGAACCTACTGTTCCTGAAATAAATTACTGCAGATTACAGTGAGGCTATATAGTGCTTTATATTTCAGTTCCTTGTTTCTCTTCTCACTTGGCTTTTAAACAACAGAAAATAACCTTTCTATGTTGAACTAAAAATATAACTGATTTTTGTTCTCTGAAATCTCATCTCATAAATGAATCTTGTCCTTCTCCAGTAGAAGAAAGTAGTTGCTTGTAAGTCTGTTTTCAGGCAGCTACAATTGGGAACTCACAGACTTTTCTTATTTCTGAAGCATGCCTTTTTAAAACTGCCCATCTGAATTACCTGGATTTAATTATGTAAAATACTAATTTTTACTTATATGATGACTTAGCATTTATTTCCTATGTTAAAACTTGTCAAACTAATGCTCTTGTAAATGTTAATTAATTTCAATAAAAAAGAGGAATAGTTCTTAAGTGGGAAGAATCAGCTTGACAACTGTTTCCAGTCCTTCCCTGAGCCTCCATTTGGTCATGCTTTGAAGGCTGTTAAGGGTGAATAAGAGTTTAGTTTTCCAACTGGTTTCATGGAACTTGTAACCCTTTACTCAGTGTGTGTTGGAGAAGTAATCAGATGAAAGACAAAATGTTACTGTTAAAACAGTAGGAGAAAAGGAAAAAATATTGTCAAGTGTTTTTATTTATAAGGATGTCACATGGTAGTAAAAATTTAGAAACTTAGTTTTCATGAACAAGCCTTATTACAGGCATGAAATTAGTGATGTATCACTAGTATTGATTAACAGCAATAAAATCTGTCATGTTGGGGAAATTACAGAGTAGAAAATAGGATATATAGACAAAGCTATGTATGTTATTCAGTTTTTTAATCATCTCTTTTATTTTTAGGATGAGTAGTATGTCAGCACTCTTTCAGCTATCTATGTGGATCAGGGTATGGACTAAAATATTTTTATCTTAAACATTTTTACTGCTGCCACTTTAACAAAAATGAACAAATTTTTAGTTTTTTTTTCCTTTTGATTTTAGACTTGCCATAACTACTTTATTGAAGACCTTGGATTGCCAGTGTGGGGATCATATACTATTTTTGCTTTAGTAACTCTGCTTTCTGGACTGTTACTAGGACTTGTAAGTGTTTCGTTTTTGGAGTGGTTGGAAGAAAGATATATTAAAATGTGATAATTTAAAATAGTTACATTAGCTGTGACATATATTCTACATTCAGATTTCTTATAATGTTTATTTTTACAGTGTATGATATTTGTGGCAGATTGCCTTTGTCCTTCAAAAAGGCGCAGACCACAGCCATACCCTTCAAGTGAGTATATTTTAAAGTGTTTATTTTTTATTCGCTATAGCCCTGTTCATTTCCGTAATCACAATCACACATTTCACAGGTTGCTCTTCCAGCTTAGAATTCTAATTGTGGGTTGTTGGTCTTTATCAGCTATGGCATAAGGGGAGGTAGAGGAGATGTATATCATGTAAGAATGTAGTCCAGTGGATTTTGGAACATTGTTATTTTCTTGACTCTTATATTATGGAGAATTCTAACATTGCATATAGCATGTGGCTATTTAACAATATTTATTCGGTATAAATTTATAAGTGGAATATATTCTACTCTGAAGTCATTCATTAGTATACTGGCCACCACATTTGAAGATTATTCTTTGAATGCCAGCCAATTGTAAGTTTTTTTTTGTGGTAGGATATTGGGAAAAGCAATCCCTATAGTTGATTTAGGATGTCATTGACACTGAACTGTACTACAGAACAATTTATTACAAGCATTTAACAATCTTGTAATTGTACCGTTAATGGAAGCCTTTATATTTACAGTTCTAAAGAATTTTTACGTATCTGTTACCCTGTTTGCTTTTCAGCAGCTCTGTAGTAGAGTGCATAGGTGATACTGCTCCCATTTTTTACTTGAAACTAAGGTTCACAGTCACACAGAAGTGACAAAGCTTAGTCTTCAACTAAATCAGACTTGTGGCCTGACATTCCTTCATTTATCATGTCTTTCTTAACTTAGGGCTTATTGAGATCAAAATTTCTGAAATGAAGTCTATGGAGATTACATTTATGGGGTAATTTGTCCTTTCATAACTGGTAGGTCATCGTTTCATTTCTTAGATAGTTGTATTGATACCAAAAAGGACATGCATAGAGGATGGAATAATTTTATCCAACAAGGGCCACTGACGTATAGAAAAAAACCATAAGCACAGATTGCTTGAATGACAAATATATTGTTAGGTTTAAGGTTTTTGAAGTGAAATTAATATAAAATGTTTACTCACCAACTTTTAAATTGTGAATAAAATGTAAGATTTAATTTAGTATATAAAAAGATACTACATAAAAATAGCTATACAGATGGTCCCTGACCTACAGTCATTCAACTTAAAATTAACTTTACGATGGTACCAAAGGAATATGCATTTACTAGAAACTGTACTTTAAATTTTAAATTTTGACCAATTCTGGGCTACTGGTATGCAGGAGTATATAGTACTTTTGTGATGCTGGGCAGATTAGGTGTATTAATATATTTCAACGTATGTAAAGGTAGGTTAGGTATATTAAATGCCTTTTTGACTTGAGATATTTTCAGAATGCTTTATCAGGGCATACCCCATCATAAATCAAGGAGCATCTCTATTATGTTTGGTTTTCTTATATTCTGTCTTCACCCTCACATAAATCATACAGCCGTCAGAAAATCTGTAGGGTGATCAGTGTGCAGCTGGCACTGGATCCCATAAATGTACCAAAGTACATACTAACTCATGTAATATGCAGGCTGAATCATTATTGCCACTGTCGTCCTCTAATCTCCCAAGAGTTTACTTTGGGAGTCTGAATAGATTGATTTCTTTGAGGATGTAGGTGATGGAGTCTGCATCGTCTTACCACTTAGAGCATACTTGAGAGTGAGCCTTGCCTGGAGAACTTGTTGAAACAGATTACTTATTCTGCACCCGGGTTTTGGACACAGAAGTTCTGTGTTGGGGCCAAGAGTTTCCGTTTCTAATAATCTGCAAGTGAAGTTGATGTTGCTGCTCTGAGGACCACTATTTGAGAACCCTCGTCTTAGAAAAAGTGGTTACCAATAGGAAAATCTATAGGCCCCTGTGTGTAAAATAACTTGTCTTTTGGTGTTGACCATACAAACTTTTTAAAAGAATACTGACTCTTCTAGAATCCTTTCTGTGCAATACATAACTGGTGTACAAAAATAGGTAAGTATTCTCAAACAAGAAAGATAAGACAGTGTAATAGGCACAATTTTAGAAACTTTAGAAGAGTTGAACCTAAGGAAATGACAGATAATACTCTACCTCTTTTAGGAAGTTATAAGGGAATTCATTCCTTGGAAATGAAATTTTTAAAATGACTAATTCATGTCAAGCTACTGAAGTTTTTCTGTTCTCTATTATGATACACAGTAAGAGTCACTAAAGAAGTCTTTACCTTTAAATATCTGTTAATTTGGAGGGATTGAAAGGCATAAAGAGTTTTTTTATTCAAAAAGAAAACAAACATGGTTTCTGAGCCAGAGGGATCTGACTGGGCATCCCAGCTCTACCACTTAATAGCAAAGCAGTATGACAGACATTTCTTACCCTCTGAGCATGTATCCTCCTTTGTGAGACAGAAATAATTTCACGTTGCTCCATTGAATCATTATGACACTTTGAAGATACGTATGTAATTTTCAATTTATCATGGTAACACATAATAAGCTTTCAGTAAGTAATCACTGTGCATATGATTATGTAATTTATTTTTTTTTAGTAATACAACTAATATTAATCCAGACTTAAAAGTGAGATTGCCATGCCCCTTCCGTAGTAGAACGCATGATTTGAGTTGTTTTCCAGTATGTGTGCTTGTCTTGATTTTGAGTTGCTAGGGTTGCTAAAGAAACCCAGTTCAATCTACTGTTAAGCACAATTGGAATTTATTGGTTTATGTAGCAAAGAAGTCTGAGATCAGGGTTGACTGGATCCTTAAGCCTCAAATGATGTTGTTAAGATGCTTTGTGTTTCTGACTTACTCAGTTTTCCATACCTTCCTTGTTCAATTCTCAATTGGGTGCTTTTTAGAAGTTTTTTTTTCCTGTTTTTTTCTCTGCCCACAAGGACATCTGGATCAGCTTAGTTCTTTCCAGTCACTAGAATAAAGTAGTTTTAGCAACTCATAGTCACAATCTAAGAATAAGAAGGAAATTCATTTTTTTCTACACCCACCTATTTTTTTGGAGAAATTCTGGTGCATTCCACTGTGTAAATGTCTCACTTCTTAGAAACCAGGGTTTCTCAACCTTGACACTATTGACGTTTTTGGCCAGATAACTTTTAGTTGTGATGGACTGTGTTTTATACACTGTTGAATGTTTAATAGCATCCTCCTACTTGCCAGTAGCATTGCCTTTCTCAGATGTGAAAAGCAAAAATATCTCTAGACATTGTTAAGTGTTCCTTGTGGAGAGAACCACTCATCCTTGTTAGAGAACCACTGCTGTAAACTAATATTCACCAGGACCACGTGGGGTGTGGCATAGGGAAGGGGCTATTAGCCCAATAGAAAGAGGGATGTCAGGCAGACCAAACAACAGACTGTTCACTAGTAGTAATTTTTTCCGATGGTTTGTTCTGTCTTATTAACCCAATCCTTCCTTGCAGGTCCCCCTTCCCTGACCCCATGATTCTGGATTGCCTAGGATTGGGGGCAGTCTGAGATCATTGAACAGAGTAAAGCTCTTTGACCCAGTTCTGTCTCCTGTGTCTCACCATGGTGTGCTCTAGGCTTAAGTTAACTAGCAGCTGGCCCTGTAAAACATAGAAAGGATGTGTATGTGTGTATAATACTTACTCATTGAAATGTGCACTTCAGATTTGTACATTTTATTGTAACTATAACATAGTAAAATAGCATATATGGGGGTTGGATAAGGGGAAGCGCATTTATAAGACCAGAAGAAGATATGGACAGAAATACAACCTTTAACTGTAAATGTGTAATTTCTGTTCCCCTGGGAACTGAAACAAAGATACTGTTGAAGTTTTAGTATACTTGTAGACCAGATGATTAATAGCAAATTAATATGAGGTAGTTTTTTTTTTAAGCCAGTCAAATTTAGCAGTGGAGGTTATCACAATTAGTGACAGTACAACATTAGTAAGTTCTGATAACTTACTACCAACCAGTTCTTTTTAATGCTATATATTTTCTTACAACTTCCATATTCATAACATTAATGCTGATTCATTAAATTCAGTTCAGTTTATAAATGGTTGGGTAATTAGAATGACTTTAATAACTAAGATGGCTCAAACCAATTTTTGTTTTTATAATATCGTGTTTTTTGGTCTTGTCTTGAATAACTTTTTCCTTTTGGGAAATCCAAACATGATAAATAATTGCCAAAGCAGTTTTTGGGCATATAAGTCATTGTATCTTGATTTTACTCTAAAGCAAATCTAATACATCAACAAAAATACATTTTTGGTCTTTGTCTTTAAGAAAAATTATCAGAATCTGTGAAACCTTTGAAAAAAGTGGAGGAAGAACAAGAGGCAGATGAAGAAGATGTTTCAGAAGAAGAAGCTGAACGTAAAGAAGGAACAAACAAAGATTTTCCACAGAATGCCATAAGGCAACGCTCTCTAGGTCCATCGTCGGCCACAGATAAATCCTAGTTGAATTTTATAGTTATCTTAATAATGATTTTGATAAAAACAGAAGATTAATCATTTCATTCGGTTTGAAGTGAACTGTGACTTGCTTGAATATTGCAGGGTTCAGTCTAGATTGCTTTTAAATTGAAGAGTCTACATTCAGAACATAAAAGCACTAGGTATTACAAGTTTTAAAAATGATTTAAGCACAGTATGGTGGTTTAAATAGTTCTCTAATTTTTGAAAAATCGTGCCAAGCAATAAGATTTATGTATATTTGTTTAATAATAACATGTTTCAAGTCTGAGTTTTGAAAATTTACATTTCCCAAGTATTGCATTATTAGGATATTTAAGATTATTGTAGAGAAAAATATTTCTCATTTGATATGATTTTTCTTGGTTTCACTGTGTGAAAAAAAGAAGATATTTCCCATAAATGGGAACTTTGCCCATTGTCTCAAGAAATGTGTATTTCAGTGATAATTACATGTTTTTTTTTTTTTTAGAGATATATTCCAAAATTTCCTTGTGGTTTTAGGTTATACAACTAGTAAAAACTACCTTACCTTAATTACAGTTTTCTACACATGGTAATACATGATATGCTACTGATTTAGGAAGTTTTTAAGTTCATGGTATTCTTTTGATTTTCTCTTGTATTTTTCTTATTTACTATGGGTTACATTTTTTATTTTTCAAATTGGATGATAATTTCCAGGAAATATTTTTTATGTTTTAGTAAACAGTATTTTTTTTGTTGTTTCAAACTGAAGTTTACTGAGAGATCCATCAAATTGAGCTGTCTGTTGATTATTTAAAATTTTGGCCACTCGTTTCAGATTTTACATTATTCTTGCTGAACTTCTACTTGAAATTGTTTTGGTTCTTTTTTTCTTTTTATTTTTGGATGTGAAGGTGAACATTCCTGATTTTTGTCTGATGTGGAAAAACCTTGGTATTTTACATTTTGAAAATTCACGGAAACTTAATATAAAACAAAGTTTGCATTCTACTCAGGAAAATGCATCTTCTTGTATATGTCTTAAATGTGTCTTTGTCCTTATATACAGAAAGTTCTTAATTGATTTTATAGTCTGTAATGCTTGATATTTTAAAATCGTAACATTTTAATATTTTTTAAAAGGCAGACTTCATATTCTCCTGTTCTTTCCCAACTGCTAATGTTGTGTGGAATTTCACAGGTAGAAATCAACAGGCTGGAACATTTAGTGTATTTTTACTCCTTAGATAGCTAGAATACATAGTTTTCACCTTACAAGAAGGGGGAAAATCATAAATACAATGAATCAACTGACCATTATGTAGTAGATAATTTCTCTAATGTCCTCTTCTTTCTAGGCTCTGTTGCTATGTAAATCCATTAGACTTGCGGTATCATAATATACAAGTTTTCTTTAAAGTCCTCTCCTTTAGAATATAAAATATTATACCATTGAGGAGTTTGGATGTGTAACTTGTGATGCCTTAGAAAAATATCCTAAGCACAAAATAAACTTTTCTAACCACTTCATTGAAGCTGAAGACTAGTATGATTTCTAGTTGCTTATTTGAAGGTATGCTTTATTACTTTGTATTTAACAATGTTCAGGTGAGTAGTTGTGTGTTCCTATATGTGTATTTGATATGCATAATTGAAAGACTGCCTTCTTTTTCTATTGAGCTGGTTAAGGACAGTAATGCTCATTAATCAAGCATTTTTTTTTCTTTTTGGTGTTCTAGTATATGTGACATTGGTAAATTTTATTAGAAAATATGTGACCAGAGGGATTCTATAGAATAAAATAAACAAAGCAAAACGAAACAAAAAACCACACAAAAAGACTCCTAATATTACAGAAAATTTAAAGTATGCTGAACAGATAGGGTCTTGAAATTTCAGGAAACATAATCTCAGAGTTCTTAAAGATTGTTACTATAGACATCTGAGTAATTTTCAGTTGGTAACAGGCTTATAGAAACTTTTTGGAATTATTTACAAATGGTTCAGGAAGAAGTAAAATATAAGTAATATCCTGGAGAATTCTGTGCCCTTCACCCACAATAATCATTTCAGCTCTACTATTAAAATATTGTAAAATCTGATCTTTAGAGGAAAATACAGTATTCTACCCTATATTGTATAGATACTTAATGATTATCAGAAAGACTGAAAAAAGTTTTAATGAATTCTGGCTACATCTAACAGCTACTGTTTACCAAGTTCCTACTGGAGCTTTGTTGTTTTTCTGTATTCATTTAATCCTAACGATGACTGCAAGACAGGTAAGCATTGCACATCTTTCAGGTGAGTCAGCTCAGAGGTTTGGTAGCGTTAGGTAAAATTTGAATCTAATTCTTTTTTAAATCTTTTTTTAAATTTTTATTATTTTTTTATTTTTTAGTGTGAGTACATGAAGTTCAGCAATCTCTTATCTCTTATTTTGGTCTTTTTTTTGTTTGAGATGGAGTTTCACTCTTGTTACCCAGGCTGGAGCCCAGGCAATGGTGTGATCTTGGCTCACTGCAACTACCACCTCCTGGGTTCAAGTGATTCTCCTGCCTCAGCCTCCTGAGTAGCTGGGATTACAGGCATGTGTCACCACTCTTCGCTATTATTTTAGTCTTAAAATTTCACTCTTATTCGAATATAGCAATAAATGCTACTTAGAAATATCATAATTATTCAATATTTGTAGTCTTGTGATATTGGTTACTGCATAAAGTAACATTGCAGTAAATGATGCTTTAGAAAGCAGTTTTCTCTTGTCAGTTGTGTCCTTATTCAACCTTATGCAAAAGCATAGTTCTGGACTTAATTATGGTGTAATTAAAATTATTGAATGAACATTTTGGCTTATATTTTATGACATTGCAATTCATCCCGATGGTCAATTTAAGGTAGGGTTCTTATAGCATATTACTTTTGATATAGGTATTTTATTAATAAGAACTTATTGGGGTTGGAGTTCAAATGCTTGGTTTTACTGAGTGATTGTATGATTCTATAAATAAAATTTTAATTGAACATCCTTGCATATTTAGATGTTGGTATTGCTTATCTAGCAACTTTTGTATTTATGAAACCATTAAAACTAGAGTAATAATGAATTTAATTTGGAATTTTGATAATATGTAAGTAGCAAGGTCAGATTATATGCTTTAACAGGTATAATGTCCCCTTTTTTCTCATTTATTTTTAATTGACAGGAAATAATTGTGTACATTTATGGGATACAATGTGATGTTTTCATCAGTGTATACATTGTAGAAAGATTCAATCAAGCTAATATATCCATCACTTCACTAGTGTATTTGTTTTGTGTGTGTGGTGAAAATGTTAAAAATCTAAGCTATTTTGAAATCGACATTATTATTAGTTGTGGTCATCATGCCATGCAATAGATCACTAAAACATATTCCTCTGGTCTAACTGAGACTCAGTACTATTTGATCAACATCGTCCCTTTCCCCATTTATCTCTTTCTAGACTCTTGTAACCACCTTTCTATTGTTTCTATGAGATTAACTTTTTTAGATTCTACATATAAGTGAGATCATATAGTATCTGACTTATTTCACTTAGTGTAATGTCCTTCAATTTTGTCTTTGTTATTACAAGTGACAGAATTTCCTTCTTTTTTTAAGGCTGTATAGTATTCCAGCATGTATATATTCTGCATTTTCTTTACCCTTTCATTCATTGCCAGAAACTTAAGATTACTTCCCTGTCTTGGCTGCTGTGAATAAGGCTGAAATGAACATAGTTAGGTTATTGAGCTTCCTGGATCTGGATTTCTATTTCCTTCTCCATACTTCAGGAGTTTTCTGCCATTATTTGTTTGAATGTTTTCTGTCCCTTTCTCACTCTCTCTCTTTTCCTGGTACATTGATAAGGCGTAAATTCTTTTCAGTGATATACGCCTTAGGCTGTCTTCATTCTTTCTCATACTTTTTTTTCCCCCTCTCTTCAAATTGAATGATTTCCAATAACGTGTCTTCAAATTTGCTAATCCTTCTGCATGATCTAGTCTGTTCTTGAACCATTCTGTTGAGTTTTTTAGTTTAGTTATTGTATTTTTCAGCTTGATGATTTCTGTTTGGTACTTGTTAATACTGTCTATCTTTTTATTGAACTTCTCTGTTCATGAATAGCTATTCTTACCTTGGTGAGCATCTTTATGACTGTCCTTTTGAATTTTGTGTCGAGCAAATGACATATCTCCATTTCATTAGGGTTGGCTTCTGGAGATTTATATGATTTTTTTTTTTACTTGGAATACATTTCCCTGTTTCTTCATTGTCCTTGACTCTTTGTGTTAGTTTTTGCTCATTAGATAAAAGAACCCCACTCCAAGTCATGGTAGACTGGTCTCATGTATATGTTCTTCCTGTCAGCCCCACCAGAGATTGTAGGTACCTCTAAACTCTTTGTATTTGTCCAAAGAACATTTGTTCTTAGTGAGCCCCAAGAAATTGGAGAGTATCAAGTCATGCTATTGCCTTGTGAGAGGCAGGATAGAAGGCAGTTCCTTGGAATGCAACTGCAGAGGTTGGAGTGTTAGATACGTTGCAGTTCTTTCCTTGCAGAGAAGCTAAGAGCCAGAGTTTATCTCTGACTCTTTCCATCTACATCAAGGACAGGCCAGAAGCAGATGCTTTAAGATTCGCAGACTGTGCACATTGAACCTGGGGAGATAGCTGCTGAACCTGTACAAAGTTAAAAGTCACCTTTTGTTTTCTGTGGTCTAGGAGACTCAGGAGTACAGAGCTCTGTTGGTTTCCAGAACTAGGTGATGTAGGAGCCAGTAAAGCCTTGAGTGAAGGATTTACAAGTTGGGGTGCTAGATACATGCAGAAACTATTTCCACAGAGTTGCACATTGGATTTGTTGCTGGAACAAGTCAGAGAAGATGATACTGGGAGTGCCCACTCTCCTGTTAGAGCAAACAGAAGTTTCACAACCTCCTTGCAGGGGGAGACTTGACTGGAGTTATCACTGAAGTAAGCCAGGGAGGAAGGTAGGGAGTGTCTGCTTTCCCTTTCAGGCATAGAGAGGTAACCCTTGCTGGACAAGAAGGTGCAGGGGGTCCCATCCCTCCTATTCTTGCTGGCACAGGTCTCCAACCTCTTTCTCTGGAGAGATTGTAGAGCTTCAGCAAGTTGAGGAAGGTGACACAGGGAGTGCTATGCTTTCCTGTTTAGACTCGAAGAGGTGTATTTATTTATATATATTTTGAGATGGCCTCACTGTGTTGCCCAGACTGGAGTTTAGTGGCATAGTCATGGCTCACTTCAGCCTCAACATCCATGAGCAGCTTAGTGACCCTCCCATCTCAGCCTTCTGAGTAGCTGGGACTACAGGTGCATACCACCATGTCCAGCTAAGTTGTGGGTCCTTTTTTTTAAGAGATGAGGTCTGAACTATGTTGTCTAGGCTGGTCTTGAACCCCTGGGCTTAAGTGATCCTCCTGTCTTGGCCTCCCAAAGTGCTGAGATTATAGGTGTTAGCCACCACACCTAGCCTTGTTTATATATGTATTTTTAGAGAGAAGGTCTTGCTCTGTCATGCAGGCTGGAATGCAGTGGCAGCATCATAAGTTACTACAGCCTCAAACTCCTGGGCTCAAGTGATCCTTCTGCCTCAACCTCCCAAGTAGCTAAGATTACAGGCACACACGACCGTGCCCAGCTAATTTTTAAATTTTAAGTAGAAACATACGTCTCACTATGTTGCCCAGGCTGGTCTCTAACTCCTGGCTTCATCCTCCTGCCTCTGCTTCCCTAAGTGAGATTTATTCTTTATTTTGCTATGTAGGTTACCAGGTAAGGGGTTGTTAGAAGCCAGAATCTCAGGGAACTGCTGGAAAAGTGTGTGTTCAAACACTTTTAGGAGCAAGTTGGGAGCTGAGCTGATCCTAGCAGCAGCTGGGAGTGCTTGTTTGGTTCAAAACCCCCCTTTGTTCTTTGTGCTTGAGGAAAATCTTCTGATGCCGTGCTCTCTTCTGAAGCAAAGTAATTTCAGTGTCAAACCCTATGGCAGGGACTGTAAATGCTGAGTACGTGTGGTATGAGTCCCTCACCAGGCAGGAAGAAGCTAGGAGTTGGAGTTTCCTTTTTGTTTTTAAGGTGCCATGCACACAGGATTAGTGTGCTGGTGTATCTCCACTTTTCCTACCTGTTTTGATGTGGATATTTTCTCAGCCATATGGTGTGTAGGTGTGTTTCAGCTGGATTCTGGCTTTCTCTTGAGAGAGCTGATCCATGTATAGGTGTTTACTCAGTGTGTCTGTGGGAGGAAGGACAGTCAGGAGCCTTCTATTCCACCCTGTTGCTGACATCATTCTCCTCCTTCTCTTTTAAAGTAATTATTTTGATTCATTAACTGCAAATGGTGATAATATAATATTGGTATTTTGCCTGGTAATGAAATCATCTTGTATCTCTCTCTACCCACTTGGCTGTGTGTGACATTACTTTTAGCCTATCTTCCTAGTGGTATTACAACTCAGACTGGTTGTGTCCTAAAAATGG